AAGAGAGTAACTGACAGTATGATTGAATTGAGTAGAGTAGGCCTATATAGGAGTAAAGTGGATATGTATTATCCTGCTAAATACTTTAAGTTGTAGTATTCGGCTACTAAACTCGCGAAGTATAAGTGACCAATTGTGCGTAGATAAGTTTCTTATGTAAAATGTGATTATTACTATTATTTTTTTTTTAAACTTCGTTTATATTGAAACATACTTTTGCGCGGGTATGAGGGGCATTGTTAGAGCTCCAGAGACCAAAATAAACCGTTGAAAAGTATTTCAATCGGCCCTGAACTTTACACAGGATCCTAGAATATTAAACAATACTTGTTTGTTCATGCGCATTGTATGCTACAATACACACAACTAGGACTTTAACTACTGAACGAGCCAATAATAATCTTCCATTTTTAAAAATATTTACACATATCTAAAAGAATATATCCAATCTAAATAGTATACAATTATAACCATCAATGACAAAGATGATTCAGTTATAATGTTTAGGTTACGGGTAAAATTATATTTAATATTAGTCTTTACACAAAATCCAGCAGAATTATAAATGCCAAGCCAATAAGACGTAAACTAGAAACCTATGTAGTTCTAGGTCTATATGTGTCAATTTTGCGGAACACGCTTAAAAATAAACAAAAATCAACAGCTAATCCGTAGAATACGTTACATTGATCATAACCTGCTCAGTCATATTGTTTTTGCGCTTAATATACTCGACATACCTTTTTAAAATAATTATTGTTAGTACATAGACTACAAGGTTTGAAGCAAAGAATGTTTACAATGTTGACACTCGATAGACGCAACTCGTTGGTGCGAAAACATAAATTTCCATTTCCAAACGTTTTCAGTGCGCAATAATTTAATTCAGTTACATTTATAAAAGTTTAACAACGATAGGACTCTAGTTGTATTCAATAATAACAAGTCAACAAACTTATTCACAAAACGAATATATTCCCACCTCCGTATTAGCTTCATTCCTCACGAAGCCCTATTACCTCATACACATCTTACTGTTATAACAGGGTAGGGAACTGGGATAAAATATCGTTTAATTCTTAATTGTATTTATGTTCATACTATTACATTATTTAATTGTAGGTTAGATAGATTATAATAGTTGTAATAGGAATGGTCCATAGTGTGTTTGACTGTAATTCCCCTCACTAGATACATGTCTGAATAGCCTGTAGTTGTCCCAGTCGTAAAGAGTGCGAGTTAATGCATGCACAGGTTAGGTGCCCCCTCCCCTCGCGGGACTGTTGGGGTTATGCAGGCGTTGGGTTACCTTGGCTTGATGTTGAGGCCGAGAGAATTAATTAAGTTGAATGCTAGACTCTTGTGATCCGTGGCAGAACTCTGTGTTTTTCTATATTCAACGTATATTAAAGTCTTAAAATTGCACGTGTGTAAAAGTTATTCTTTCAAGGCGGCTTTATAACCTGTCTTTCTTCAATTTTTACCTAAATACCTCACATCACTGCAGTCATCAGCACCATCACTTTGCGATGACTTAATAACACAAAACCCTCCCCCTAACTGAAATAACTCTGCCCCCATTCCCCGATACTAAAATCAACACACTCCTTGTTACTATAACTTAAAACCACTCGTTTCACCATGGACACATTTCATTAAAAGTTTAAAGAGTTTAGAAACTCCCGAGCCATTATATATGTGCTATATTATTGAAATAATATTTCCACAAAATAAAATAAGGTCAGGTGTAGGGTTTAAATTTTGGTATGCCGTTTATTTGCCGTTGGCTTTTTGGGAAATAGTCGAATTCGTGATTTTGATTGTTTGAACAATAGTCCATTATTGCTGAAGATCAAATCTGTATATCGTGCCGTTTGGACAAACGGCCAATCTGGATATCAAACTTCTGCCAAACAGAAATAGAACAAATGTCTTTCTGTCATATTGGTCAGTGTTATGGTAAGGCTGACAAAACCAGGGAGAATGCACCTTTGCTAGAATAAAATATTTGCGCACAAAGATTCATCATCTTCATATTTTTTACAGCTTGGAATCGGCCAGGTAATGAATCCATATTGTTTAAATCTGGAATAGTTTACTAAAGATGTAACAGGTGTCGTCAAGGTCAGTGATATCTACTGTCAAACGGCAATTAGTCATATATGTCTATGGTCTAAATATGTGTTCAAAGTGTAGCGATCTTGTTTAAAATGAGTCTGTATGCAATTTGAAGTGTAAAATCTAGCTCTAGATTTACGTTAAATACTAGATTGATGCCGAGGTATATATATCTAATAGATAAATTGTTTTAACGTTGTTTCTGTGCTTAGCATAAAAATAATGACTAGGTCTATAACTGTATACATTTTTAAAATTTAATTTATGAGTCGAATATTGACATACAAAGTAAAGATTCCTCTTAAGACCTAGCGATCCATTGGGCAGATGACGTGGAGTTCATATGTTTCTTGACCTCGGCATATAAAGCGATAATGTGGTCAGCGATATGCCCATGTGCCTCTACTTTCCATAACGTGAGTTAGGTACCCATCAGAGTTGGGTGGACTCATTAAGTTTCACTAATTGAACTCGGATTCGAACACGAAACTATCCGGTTAGCAGTCTGGCACCCACCACTCGGTCACGACATTCCATCGAGTATTAAGATGGAAAAGGATATTTCTGTGCGCTGCAGCTTTTAAACTTTGAAATCGTCGTGTGATTTCACATATATGAATATTCTAGATTTAAGTACATGCATAATCAAGCCGTATTTTAATATAAAGTTATTACTACTAATAATGTTTACTTAGATTTGATTACTCCGGTACTATACTTATGCTGCAAGTGTACAATATTATTTTTATTTGCGTACTGCATTTAAAACGGAACAAGGAAGTAATAAATTGTTTCAATGAATGCAAATATTGGTTCCTAAAAAATTTAATCATTCATACATTCAAACAGTTGTATATCTCTACTATTTAAATTTAGGTCCAGACCAAAGATCATTAAAACTGTTCCAGTCTTTAATGAATTATCGTTAAAACAATCTTTATGTGGTGATTGTATATATTAAAGATACGCTTGTATTGACGAATGATTAGTTTGCAGCAATGCCTATTTACTTTCACGTATACGAAGTATAGAGAAAGTATTGTATTCGTGCAAAAATTCGTTTTATGCCTCCCTGCGTCGGAAAAACATAGTTTTGCAATCTTGTCCGTATGTCTGTGTGTGTATGTATATGTGTGTAAACACGATAACTTGAGTACCGATAACTTGAGTACCGTTACAGCTAGGTTGATGAAATTTCATGTATCAACTTTTGAGCGATTTCCTATAACCGGAAGTGGAACATTTTCTTCTTTGAATTTTTCCAAAGCCAATAACTTGTGTACTATTCCAGACAGATAAAGAAAATTTCACGTTAAGTAAAAGATCCAATTTTCTGTCTTCTGTCAAATTTTAAGTAATTTCCGTTGACCAGAAGTAGTAATTTACGCTATTTCTGATTTCTCAAAAAAAAAAAAAACGCATGTGAATTTATAAAGTAGGCTACTAATAATATTCCGCACTATTATGCACACTTTGTAGTTCACTTGGTGTGCAATTCTGTTTTCTACAAGTTTCTATTCTATTTTTAAAAGTTAAGCATTTAAAATGGCTTAAAAATCATGTCTATATCCCGAGTTGCATCCCTGTTGTTTTACATAAGAATATTCGAGAAAGTTTAGGGGAGATCACTCCCGGTTTATTATAATTATCAACGCTTAACTTCCAATGTTTTCTCACAAAAGTGTTTATAGCTTTGGAAGAATATGTTGTCTGTATTTTTTAAAATTCGGCTGCTGTATTTGGTGATAAAATTTGTGCTGACAATATTTCAAAATAGTCCATCTAAATTGGGATTTTAAAATAAATGTATATAATTTTAAAAGGAGAAAAAAAAGTACTCAAAACAATCTATTTATATTTTATTATCGTGTAAGTAAGCATATAAAAAGGGTAATTTTAAGTAAATATTTGACAATCCATATTTACAACTTCACAACTCCAACTCAGTCTATTATAATTCAAGCTAGTTTTTAATCGTTAAGTATCTTCTTTGTAATCTTAAAAACATGTCAATTTTGATAAAAAAAAGTATAGTCTTTTAAAATACATCATGCTATTTATAAATTCAATTTGTTCCATGTATATATTGTGTATATGCAAATAAATAGTATGAAACGAAGAAATCCCAAAATTAATATATGCCAACAAATAGTATAAATCTATAAAATCCCAACATGAATATATCCTGTAAACACTACACATTGTTCGGCAATGGATTGAAATAACCGAAGATACAAGGCTGCTTCAGATCTGACGCAGGATCACAGGTATTGTATGGTTGACGTAACCCTAACCCTCGTAACGGTCATTAAAATACAGTTGAAATACTTTAAATATTAAGCCTCAAAATGTTCATGGTCATAAAATGTTCTAATGAATTTTATTTCTAATAGATCTTTATTTGGAGTATTTACAAAAAAATAATTTTGTTAAAACGCAAAGCTAAATTATATATAACTATTTGGAGTTTTAAAATACAACTACAATGTACAAGATGTGACTATCAATACGTTGCCGATAGTCATTGGTCTTTAAAGATAAACATCTCAGTTATTCCTAAAAGAAAAAGCTAATGTGCTGGTTCATCAAAATGGCTAGAACTGGTCAAAGTTTGATTTTTTTATAACTCTTTATGCGTTTATGGAAAACAATAAACTATTGACTTTAAAGTCATTGAATGTGTGGGAAACTCCATTAGCAAAGTTCGTTTCTTATTTTAAAGAAAGTATAATTGCTTAAAAGGTTTTTTTTTAAATAACAAAATAAATGCTATAAAATTAAAACCAAATATGTGTTCTCCGTTTATAAGATTTTGAACTGTATTTTGATGGTTAAATAAAGTCAACCAACTATATTTCCTATTTATGTACACAGCTTTACAGTTACCTAAGTAAAAATGTCTTTGGAAGTGTAGCTGGAACGAAATTTGACATTGCATCATCATTTCCCCAGTATGAAATAACTTTAAGATGTCCTGGAACAGTATTTTTCCTATTTGCATCTGGCGGATCTCTATCAGGATTATTTCCGAAAATAATCAACTTCTCGTTGTATGATAAAGCACCATATTGTTTTCTTTGGCAATTCCATAGCTTAAAAACAAATTTTACTTCAATTCTTTTTATTGACGATGCTTTCAAAATAACCCACAAAGAGCCATTTGTCTGTAATATGTAGCTGTGTTTGTCGTTCTTGAAAGTGGTCAGCTGGTCTGCTGGTCCATCCAAATCGGTTAGCTTGGTACAAACGTCACAAGGAAACTCGTAATTGTGAACAACTGTATTCTCAATGTTGTTATGAGTTTCAGATGAGAAAATAAGAATGGAGTTTTCAAAGACAGTTGCGTATTTTATATCTAATTGCGTTGGAATTTCTCTGAATTTTTTAAAATCCAAACTCCTTGGGTTTATAAGATAAATTACATTATCACTTTTGTCTAAGATGTAAATAAACTGCCCATGAGAAACAAGTAACACATCGTTACAGAACAGATTCAAAACTTTTTTCCAGGCGTTCACAGAGAGGACAAACAATTTATATTGCTGCGTGTTTGGCATGTTAAGAGGTTTTCCTATTGCGTACAAGTCTGTATCAAACGTCACAAGCTGAATATTTTTTTTTAAACCATCACAAGTTGGCAAATCGAACCAAGTCTCATCACTAGCATGTATTGCTCTAAACTGTCCATCTCTTCTTGCATAAACCCCAACGTGTGTAACGCTACTACACGATCTGTGCACAGCCGCTGATGGCCACTGGCCGTCTCTTGAAGGTTGGGCTTGGTACGACAAAGCGCTGACGATTATATCTCTAAAGTCTTTGTTTTCAGAACACATTTTAAGATAATAAACTTGTGTTAACACCTCTGGACTCACTAGATATGTCCTCATCAGACTGAGTAATTCTGTCATTTTATCTTTTCTAGATAAATGCTCGGTTAATGCAACATTAAGCGAGTTATCAGAAGGTACTTTTTCCAATTCATTGCCATCTTTTTCTGTGTTGACTATTTTGTTTGTGTTTTGAATATCTGTGTTAGTATTATTTAGTATTATTTGGAGCATAGCAATCGACCCATCGTATCACTGATTCCAACACAATATCTTCACTACTGACACAAAGATCCTGGCTTTTTATCAAATTACGAACTTCATTGGAAGACAGTTGTAGATATGTTGATGAAAGACTTATTTGATCATGAAACATGAAGCAATGTAACTCATCTAGAACAATAGTTGAGCCAACAAGTTTAGCTGTTACGTAAATGTTTTCCCAGTTCTCCATCGTAATAGACTCAGCTGCAAATATTTCACATATTTTTACCATAAAATTAATCTGCAACATGTGCACAGCCCTCCAGAGGTGAATGAAATTATCCAACGTTAAAACATTGACACCTGTGTAAAGTGTTTTCAGAATCAGCTGAAATATTTCATAGGAAACATCTTTTAACTCAACCCAGTTTTCTGTAATCTCCCTCATTCCTGATCGAAACAACGCTTGGAAAAATTCAGAGCAGGCCGCAAGAACGAGCTTATGACAAGTGATTGTGTCATCTTTTATCTTGATTGTAAAGTCGAGAAACATTTTGTCTGTCCACACAATCCCGAGACATTTCACGATCTCGGTGCAGATTTCAGGTGAGTTCATGTTGTAGGAAGATCTGTAATGTAGATAAAAATAACCAATAAGCTTTATACCAACACACGCACACGAATACATACACACATATATGTATATATATTTACATATATATATATATATATATATATATATATATATATATATATATATATATATATATATATATATTGATATGTGTATATACAACACAATGTTATTTTTTCAAAGACAGGCACACATATACATATATATATATATATATATATATATATATATATATATATATATATATATATATATATATATATAATTATCTACGTGGGGACCTCGCGGGAACCACCACCACGTAAGCGAGCATAGCCTTCCCTCCCTCTCCAAGCGGAACGCTACCACCACCACCAGCCTGGTGAAGTCTGGTTCACACCAAATGTTTACAATCGTAGAGCCCGGTCGAATTATTGACGTGTATTAGAGGCAGATTATTTATTTTTAAACGATTTGCAACTTAGAGAAGGTAATTTAGAGGAGGCTGTTTTAACGGGGGTGGGTGGTGTAGGGGTGGGGGAACTGAGGTTGGGAGTTATAGCGACGTATAGTACACCGGGGGTTGGCTCGTTTAATTATACATTTCTAGCATAAAAGACCATGAGCGTACACAATGTAGACAAGTTCAAGAGCTTCCAGTTGCTCACCCAAAAGTCTCGAGTTCGGACATTACACACATTTAGAATTTGTACAATCATTTAATAATACTCTATGCATCGGTACGTAGTGTGTTAATCACTATTTGACCCGATATAAAGCAACTTAACGGTTCCCGTATACCCTACTATGATGTTAAAAAAAGTAAAGTTCTCCTTCCAAAACATGGTACAATAGAAGTAGAGTGCACTTTTTATGTGACCTTGGCATACGAAGAGATAATATGGTCAGTACTATGCCTAGTCGCACTTACATTCCCTAAAGTGAGTTAGGTTCCCATCAGAGCTTGCTGGTTAGCAGTCCAGATCTCTACCGCTAGGCCACTCCGTCCCATACTATCATGTTACTGTTATTTATATATCCAGGAAACTACACCCACATCCCTGCTCCTTCAACGACAAAACTTGAAGCTACCCAGATATATTTTAAAATTCATTATTGGAATCAATTTAGTAGAATTTTCTTGCCTTATATTCAAGACAACAAATTGCCAAGTCTTATGTTCATATAAAAGAATATTTTTTTCCGTGGCATTATCTCATGCTTCGAAACAATCGAACTATCAGAATGTATCAAGGATAAAATTATTATAATTACAGAAATTACTGACCACCTAATACTAGATCTAAATTAAATATTAAGCTTTACTCAAATTATAGTTAAGAGAAGTCTAAAGTTTAAACATTAGTTATTTGATCTTTATAGATGTGTTTTTTTGCAATAAGCGCTTAACAAGATTTATACACTAATTATAAATGAAACACATTATACTTATTTAATCCGTGCACTGATAATGTTTTTGTGTGTAATAGATTTTACATACGTTCTATAATATTTAGATCTATAAACAATTTCTAATGTCGTAGATTCAAAACATGCAAGGTCGAAAGCAAAAGTTAGTAAACAATGTTTATTGGTGCGAGAAAATAGGTTGTATTTCTTAAAATTTTTATTGCGCAAAAGATGGTGTGCAGTCAAATTTATCAGTGTTCTATTAATTAAATAATGATACGCCGGCAAACATATACACATGCATATATTATCTCACTTACATTATAACTCTCCTCCCCCATCCCACACCCACTAAAAAATGAAATTTTCCTATTCCCCAACACGGACAATACACTATGCGACAGTATAGTTTTCTCCTTTCTCGTATACAGAGTATTGAGATGGTAAAGATTGTTATGGAAAACATTTCGCATACGAGGGATTATCAAACAATTATAGTCACGCAACTTATAATACTAAACAACCACTAACGGGTTTCAAAACAAGACAGAAGGAAATTAAGGCTCTTCAAAACTTAATTTATTTAATACGGATACACTCAGTGGCGTCGCTAGGTCGGGTGTCACCCGGTGCGGCACCTAACTGTGTCATCCCTCCCCAACCTCGCCCCAGACGTAGATTGACGTGTCAGTTATTACAATTCTTAAGAAACTTTTTTTTCCTCAGGCATATTTTAGTTGGTGTCACCCCCCCCCCCCCTCCACCGATGACAGCTATAAACTGTGTCCAGATAACACTAACGATCTTGATATATAGTCGGTTATATATACAGCTTGATGGAGTATTGTTTTCTATATCGTTTGCAGGTTTGCATCATGGTGTGCCCCCCCCCCACCCACACACACTTTTAACGGGATTTGTCAATTGTGCTCTTAAAAAAGACTTTTTAACTCTAATTAATCATCTTTTTAACTGGAATGATCGTTGTTCTATATATAATTAGCTGTTTTTGCCCTGGTGGAACTCCCCTAAATGGTATCACACGGTGCGGTCCGCATCCTCACTAACAGTCTATTCAAACACTAAATGCAAATGCTAGTACGAAAACTAAGAAACAGTTGCTAAAATTACGAAACAAGTCTACACTGATTCTGGATGAGATCTAAACGAAACTGAGGCAATCACACATGTTCTAACACACCTTATATATACCCTTACAGAAAACAGGTACAAAAAAAGGTTGTCATAACTCAGAGCACGAGGATTGAACATGGAAGAACGGGAGAGGGTACAAAGTACAAACAACATTCACCAGCATTCCGCCCCCTTCACTCGTTCACTACACAGCACAAGTAGGTGTAAGTTATATATATATATATATATATATATATATATATATATATATATATATATATATATATATATATATATATATATATGTATATATATATATATATATATATATATATATATATATATATATATATATATATATATATATATATGTAATTGTATACCTATAAATGCATAATGAAATTACTTGTATACGAGTTTAAGCATAATTGTCTACTTATATGTAATTAGAAAAAAAATTAATTTCCAGGCAGTAACAGATTTTATCAAAGCCGTTTCTTCTAACTTTATATGGGATGGCCTCGGCAAAGTTATAGACAGTGTGGCATTGAAATCCTGGCAGCGTATTTTTAACAAAAACTTAAACCAACGCTAAACATCCACATATGACCTTCACTTTAATCTAAGGCTAATCCTTAAACTCAGGCTAATCCTAAAAATAAAAACTAATCTTCCACTACAATCATCCACAGCCTCAATGTTGTTTGAAACTTCCATCTTGTGTCGCGTTGACGTTGAGGCCGACTGTCATAGATTTCGTTCCTTTATGGTCAAGTCGGTAAAGCTCATGGTTGCTAAATCGAAAAGTTTTGATTTCGCGCCCTTTGGCAGATGAGGCTCGTTAGCTGGGGACAGTCACTCTTCTAGGAGAGACAACTCCAAAATCAAACAACTACTGTCTTGTAGTTTTTTCTTTGTTGGACAAAGGCTATGGAGGCCAATCCAAAAAGTAAAGCAGCCTGAAATCGAGGTCAACGTCCTATACGGCGTATTGCAAGTTGACATGCATATACTTTATTGTGTTGGAAGGAATCTATTATACGGAGGCTATCACATACATATATTTTGCTATTTATTTTTAAAACGAATACAAATGAAGATCTTTTTTTCTTTGGCAGTCTGCCTCTTGGTTTGACTGCCCGTTTAGTCAATGTCTTAACTGCATAAATAATGCTTAACAAACACGAGTAAAGCAATACATTTATCACAATGAAAAACATGCTAGATTTATTAACACGCATTCACACTGTAGCCTACAACGGACAATGGCTAGGGTATTACCACCAATGCTCGCATTGACCAGCCAATGTACTAAAGCCGCTGATTAATTTAAATTCTTCGGACAATGGCCAGGGGATACTGGCCATTGCCCGCATTGGCCGGGGAAGGTACGAAATACAATGTTAGTATCTTCTTCTTAGTGATATTTCTTGCTGCTAGTGGTTGTTGCGATGCGAGATGCTGGTACAGGGCCGACGACACAAGATAAAGTAGTTTCACTTGAAACACAAAATCCTTAGATTTATCTTGGTTCTTTAATTGATATTTATTTACAGTATGCATCTACCACAGTTGACTATGAAAGGATGCCTACAATAGCTATAGTAGAACGATGGCCTGGAGATAACAATACTTGAACTACAATAACTATTAGGTCCTTACGATAACCAAGCGACAACTATATGATGACTGACCCTTCTAACCTATCTCTGTCTTTATATACTCCTAATCTCTAAGTCCTAACTTAATTAAATGTCACTCACCTTCTAATAGCTAATATGCTACAGAAGTGTTGGCTACATTTTTTACGTTTCACACAAGATACAACGCTAATAGTCATAAGCAAAAGGGACGTTACTCTAAACGTACATAATTGATTACGCTATCTTCTACTATAATAAATGATATAATATGCATTCATAACAGTTGTAATATTTTTACAAGCTTTTATTTAACTCATTTCCTCTGTCTGTCGTTAGTCGTCAGTCTGTCTGTCTAGATCGAAACGCCGGAGTGAAAATTCGGACATTTCTACTTGACCTATACGATTCACATTTGGCACGTGGGTCAAGACATGAAGACAATGCAATCTGAAATTAAATTTGATTTAATTGGATGCCTAATTAATTTTTTATGAATTAACTAAAATTTGGACCGAATTAGTAGGCATGTCTATCCAACCACACCACACGCGTCATCAGGTTCAATAGCTGCGCCATCACGTTCAATGGCTGCGCCATCACGTTCAATAGGCGCGCAATGGTTTTTAGTCCTGTAACTCTATTGTAAATAAAACAAGTAAAGTACTGAAAAAAATTCATAAAAAACGTTTTAATAACAAGCGTTTATGTAATAATGCACTAAAAAGTAGAAAATAAATTATACACTACCATTTAAATTACTATTAATAAAAGCGTGGGTCACTTTAGTACCTATTGAATACCTTCACTAATATTTGA